CTGTTCACCTGTGCGCTAGGATGGACTGTGACAGGACCTGTGATGGACATCTAACGAGGAATAATACCACACTGATAGCTCCCATGTGCTGAGGCGGAGGGCTGTGGGCTGTGGGCTGTGTTACCACTGGTACAGAGCTGCACTCATGCCCTTATTAGAACAGGTTCAGAGGCTAAGCCCTGCCTGGCCCTGGTGCCCTCTCCTAACTGCCTGCACTCTGTACACAGCATTGCTGAAAGTGCTGCCCCTTCTCTGCCAAAGCGCCTTATGGCAGCTGCCTTTAAGATGACCCAATAGCATAAAGAAGATGTGGTACATTTATGGCATCTGAACTCCAAACCTTCACAGACGGTGTTGTGAGGGCCACTGGGCGACCCAGGAACCGGCTTCCAGCCAGGGCTGCAGTGGCACTCATAGCTGGTGGTATTGTGGCATCGGGTGGATTTTTGGCATGAGTATTGCCATGAAGTACATTCATAGACGTCGGAGGAGAAACCAGAGAGAGTGTTAGGCCCTCCCTCCACTCCCTGCATGTAACGATCCTGCCTATTTTTACAAATTACACTTAAGACACCCCACTAAATCCTGCCTATAACCCACCTAGCCCCACATATACAAAGTTGTGGTGACATTTTACACTGTAAAAGGCACATGAGCTCAGAGCACCTGTAAGGGTGACAGGGCAGGGCTTTGTGTCATCACAAAGCTGTGTTCCCCAACTGTGGGGTGCAAGAGTAAGGGAGGACCTGTGATGGATTTCTAACCAGGGAGGCTGACACACTGATAGTTCCCATGTGCTGTGGCTGTGGGTTGTGGCACCACTGTGCCCAGAGCTGCACTCATGCCCTTATTAGAACAGATTCCGAAGCTCAGCCCTGCCCGACCCAGGTCTCCTCTCCTCACTGCCTGCACTGGGCACCACACACCATAAAAAGTGCTGCCCCTTTTCTGCCAAAGCTCCTTATGGCAGCTGCATTTAAGGTGGCTCAGCAAAGTAAAGAAGATATGGTGGTTTTATGGGAACTGAACTCCGAACCTTCACAGATGGTGTTGTTTGGGCCATTGGGGGATCCAAGAATCGGCTTCCAGCCAAGGCTGCAGCGGCATTCATAGCTGCCCTCGGTGTTGTGGCATTGGGTGGATTTGTGGCAGGAGTTTTGCCCGGAGGTACATTCATCCACATCTGAGGACAAACCAGAGAGAGTGTCAGGCCCTCCCTGCATTCCCTGCACATAAACCCTCCTGCCCCTTCTCTCAGAGTACACTCTGGACACCCCACTAAACCATGCCTGAAGCCACCTAGCCCGACATATTCAAAGTTGTGGTGACATTTTCCAAACTTAAAAGGACATTAAGCTCATAGCACCCCTGCAAGGTGGACAGGGCAGGGCTATGTGTGTGCAAGTATCATCCCAAAGCTGTGTTCCCTAACTGTGGGGCAGGAGGGACAGGGGGAGGACCTGTGATGCACTTCTAATCAGGGAGGCTGCCACACTGCTAGCTCCCCATGCACTGAGGCTGTGGGCTGTGGGCTGTGGCACTGCTGGGCCCAGAGCTGTATTCCTGCCCTTTTTAGAACATAATCTGAAGCTCAGCCCTGCCTGGCCCAGGTGCCCTCTCCTCCCTGCCTGCACTGGGCACACACCATTGCTGGAAGTGCTGCCCCTACTCTACCAAGGCTCCTACTGGCAGCTAACTTTAAGATGGCTCAGCCCAGTAAATAAATGTGGTTCATTCATGGCAGCGATTCTCAATCTGTGGGCCACGACCCTGTTGGCGGTCAAACAACCCTTTCACAGGGGTCGCCTAAGACCATCCTGCATATCAGATATTTACATTATGATTCATAACAGTAGCACATTACAGTTATGAAGTAGCAACAAAAATAATTTTATGGTTGGGTCACAACATGAGGAACTGTATTTAAAAGGCCAGAAGGTTGAGAATCACTGATTTATGGGATCTGAACTCCGAACCTTCACAGACGGTGTTGTGTGGGCCATTGGGGGACCCAGGAACCGGCTTCCAGCCAGGGCTGCAGCGGCACTCATAGCTGCCCTCCTTGTTGTGGCATTGGGTGGATGGGTGGCAGGAGTATTGCCCAGAGGTACATTCATCCACATCTGAGGACAAACCAGAGAGAGTGTCAGGTCCTCCCTCTACTCCCTGCACATAAAGCTTCATTCCTCTTCTGAAAACATACCCCGATGACACCCCCACTACTCCCTGCTTAAATCCACCAGGCCTGACAGTATACAAAGTTGTTGTGACATTTTTCACTCTAGAATCACCATAAGCTCAGAGCGCCCCTGCAAGGTGGACAGGGCAGGACTGTGTGTGTGTGTGTGTGTGTGTGTGTGTGTGTGTGTGTG